ATTACTTAAATTTCCTAAAAAGACAGAATTTTATTTAATTAGAATTATATTAAAAAATGATAACAAGTGCGGTTATAGAAAAATAAAACAAATTCCACTGGATTTTGTAATGAATACTGAAAAAAATCCAGAACAGCGAGAAGAATAAAGGAATCCGTTTTGTATACGTTTTGAAAATCTTAAAAAGAACGAGTCGTTATGAAGCCTGCTTCATATGGCATTCGTGTGTCTTGTCGTCAAAATAATCTTGTCCTGTGGTTATGTTTTGTTATCAATGGCAAACTCGTCATCCAATGTCTGCCTGAACTGCCTTTTAACTCACTCAAAGCTATTTTCGTCAATGTTTAATTCAACACGTCTCATTTCGACTAATTAGGCCAAGAGTAATTTGCAAAACTAATTGATTTGATAGAGATGACAATTGGATTGTATAGGCGCGAAACTACGCATGCGTGAAGACTCGCCGCGCTAAATATTAAACGCAAACAATACCTTGAAGTACGTGGAAATCGTCTGCATTTTTTTACAATTTAATATTCATTGACAACGAGGCTACTTGAGCAAGAAAGAGTGGTATTCAAGCTATCTCGCAGCAGGATATCAAACCGCAGTACGTCGACGACGGCGAAGACATTTTGTGTAAAAGCCGTTCACAGTACGTACTTCCCATAGTACTCCATGTGAAGAACATTTTCAGCAAAGTTCCGATTAAAAAGCTATAGTACGTAATTCTACAGCCTCAATGTTTAAGTTTTAACTCGACTAGACTGAGCATTTATTACTGGCCAAAGAGCTTAAAATCATCGGACGGGCTGTCAAATTGAACAACAAGGAAATGTTTCAGTATCACAATGCTCTATCGTTACCTTTTTGGCAGCTGATTCAAACCTATAGCCTCATTAATTCAATGGTTTTTAAGCTCGGAGTCAGTGGTAATAGCCGAATTTCATTTAAATTTTTATGAACACCATTGATATATTTTGTTTACATTTATTTCTAGGTCAAAGCGAGCAACGATGAAGCCTTTTTTGATGACTTTATGGTGTTTCATGGTGTTGACTGTCGAAGGTAGGTCTCAGTTATATCAATCAAAAAAAGGGTCACTAAACACTATACATAGGAACGTTATATTGATAGATAGACACTTCATTCAAACGCTTACTGCTAAAAAATCATCGGTTTTCAATTTATTAGACATTTCAGTAAATATTTAGATGTCTAAATGTAAAAAGGAAATTACATACGATACCTGTAACCTTTACAGGTTGCAACAAATTTGAATAAAGTAAAAAAATGTATCTGCGTTCAATGAAATAATTCTATTGTACATTATCTTTGTAAGAGATTTTCTAACATTCTACCTATAAACATTATTTCTTATAGCTTTTCTCTTTAGTGTTCATTTATTTGTATTTCATTCTTCTTTTGGTAGCTAATTAGCAGTCTTAAACACATATCGTAAATATGTTCTATTAACTATTTCGTGCTTAATAGGTTTAAAATAATTACTTAAAAAAATATTTGATTCTCTTTCCTTGTCAATAGTATTTTTATTCAAAAATCCCACTTTGTGGTTCAATCCGCACTTAACTGATCAAAGGAATGTAAATGAAGTTAACAAATTTTAAAATACTTGTATAATTCTTAATGTTCAATTAATTAGGCTTTATCATCAAAGCAATGCGACTGGTTGACCCAGTCTGAGCTCGATTGAGATATTTCAGAAACCTCGCTGGCTGCATGAAATTAAGCAAATATTGGATGCGGTTTTTTTGACTTTTTTAGTCAAGACAGTTTGAAGTGTATAAAAATCAGCCATGGTCAGTCAGATCCACACTTTTGATGTGAAGAGTAATATCTGAAAAATCTTCAAGATGTCGTTTGCTTATCGAATAAAATCAACTAAAGGGGGACAAAGGGCTGCAGGGGACCAGGTGTCAGTAATAATATAGGTGCTAATGATGCCAGTAAAGCCAATATATTATACAAAGAAGCAATTAGTCAATGCTACGAATAAAGCATGATGGAAACTGTTTAGTCCTTGCACCTATTTTCATGTTCGGTAAAATGATTTTCAAAAGCTGTTTTGACTTCTTCTTTGACAAGACGGAAATGGTTGTGGGGTTTCTGCGTAAAGAAAATTCTGAAACGGAAAAAATAATTAAAAACACATGAAAGTGCAAGGCCTACATCTCCCATCATGATGTGTTGTACAAAATGACGGAGCGGCAGATTGACCCTCAGTCGATTGTCTCTTGCGCGCGCACGTTCACGCAAACGCGCACGCACACGTCTGTATGAGCCGTGACATTATTTTAGAGCTGTCTTTACATTAGAAAAGATGTATTTGCGAGGACAGTTTCCACTTGAAAAGTAGAAATGGTTTACAAATCASCATAATAAATATCGACGTTTACTTCCAGGTGAATATTACATACTAGCACCTACATCACAAAGTGCGTCGCCTACAGAACCCCCCATGACACACCCTACTCTATCKGCAGCCATATTGGAGCCCATGCCGCAGACAGCCGTTCATTACATACCCAGTCCTTCCACGGCCAGCGAAAGATTAACATGTGGTAATACCCAGGCTGTAGATAATGAGGTATAYCCAGCGAAAGCACTCGCWCCAGGACCTGCCATCCCACCCGTCTTACAACCTACAAAATCGTTCTCGGAAAATGCCGCCAAGAATATGACAAAGACCCAGATTTGAGCTGTTCGTGATCGACGTCATTATATTGCAACCAGGTTTTTCTCAGCCTTCCATGAACGAAATTCTGCGACTGATATCGTCGATACATGAATGTTATTATCAACACGGCCGCTATCTCGAATTATGAAGAAATTATGGGATACCATTATAAGGAGAATGGTATCGACGATTATTTTATCRATTTGATTTATTTTTTCCAAATGTCAATCGAAATATGAGGGKTTTTGYTTTACAGTTTCAAATGATGAAAACTGAATCAAATAACATTCCCAATACCGTAAAGCAGATGGATTTCTTATTYAGTGCGCCCTCCCCTCCCCCAGGATTCCAATATTTTCATGATGGCGACCGMATTGRAAATAATATCCATTGTATTTTCATTACCAAAATTCTTTAGYTCAAGACGTTTTTTGCTCGTTTTTCAATTTGAATTTTATTTATACACACAATCAATATCRTCTAATCTAAATAGAAAAACAATTATTGACTAAAACGTCTAACTGAAAAGTATTCTGGTCATAAAACCCAAAAATGGAAAGGTTTGTTATCACTTCAAATTCAGAAACACATCAAAATTGTACTATAAAGTTCTGATAAATCCTGTCAAGACTTCCGATAACTTTTATGTACATCGAGTTATGGTTATTTAAATGGTGTTCGCATGTAACTTGCATTCAGATCAGCAAGAAGGATGATTATCTAATAAGTAAGACTTTCGAGGCTGCGTTCACAGAGGTAAAAGCGTTTTTGGCGTAAGTAAATTTGTGGTTTAACTAGCCAGTCATTCATGCTGTCAAAYTTTCTTTTTCATTATAAACCCTTGTCATAAGTTATAGGCCGAAAAATTCTGAAATTTCACTCCACCCAACCACTCCCCCTCCTAAAATGGCGCTCGTTCTCGCAATGAACGGCGGTTGCTTGTGATTTTTTAATGYTTCTTATTAACTTAAAATATTGATTTTTTTTATAGAAAAATGTTTTTTTTAGCATTTAAATGTATGATATAAAAAGGCATTGCTTGATATCAAAAAAGTTTAATCCACGCACAAAATACTATTTAGTGATCATTTATCATGGTTGCTGGGCTACCTACCCGGCTACCTAAACATATTAGTAACTATAATCTATTACACAAAACAATTTAAAAGGAAATATTGTATACAATATAAACAGGTTTTGCAAAAAATCTTTAAAATTATGAATATCAATATCTGCATATATGGTAATAAGCATTTTATAAATATTAATAATATAAATAATAATAATAATAATAATAATAATATAATTTTAGTAACTGTAACTATTTTATTATTATTGAGTAGAGCAAACCCAGGAAAACCATGAAATAAAATCAAACTAAATACTAACAAATAGCGCCTATTTAGAGACAAATTGTCAGTATCAATGAACCAGAACGCAATCAAGATGTCTGTGAAATAGGAATTGTACCATTAAATACTATTACCCGTATTAGCTCCCAATAGTTTAACTTATGACATGCAACAAACTAATTAGGCAAAGCACGGTTTTGATTTTGCCTTTTGGTAGCCTTCTACACCCTAATAGTTACTATTAGACACTGACTACTAGTAATTGTTTCACAGACGGATGAAAATGACTGTATTTCATAGTTTTCCTGCGTTTGCTCTATCATTGGGGTATCTTAAGGTGCTTTCCATTTAGGCAGAACTGGCCGGCCAGTAAACTCTATTTAGAGGTATATAATGCTTTTTGTCAACATTTTTCAGTCATTTCGAGGTTTTCTGTAGAATAATGGACAGAATTTGAAAATTTGAATTTCCTAAGTAAATGGGAATGATATATAAATGACATTTTCTCTGGGTCTGGCCAGCCAGGTCCGACAAATGGAAAGCACACTTAATAACTTTCGTCATAAACATTTTTATTTTTTGTAGAAATTACCCAAAATGCACACATTTATATGCATATATGTAGATATTGTTAACTTTTATTGAATTTGTGGGAAACGCTGTATAATCGATCATCACACTTCAAAATTAAAAATTGATAATCCGCACGAAAGATTAAAAAATAAAAGTATTTTAGAATGATTTGTTTTTGAAAACATACCCTTTCAGTTGCTCTTAGGCCTCGATAGCAAGTTAATTATTCTTTTGAATTTTCTAATTATATCAATGTGTGCATTGCTCACATTCCTACAAATTCAAAAGAATATTTAACACGCTGTCGAGGCCTAAGAGCAACTGAAAAGGTATATTAAACCAATATTATTAAAACTCATAATTTGTAATTTTCAAGTGTTTATAATTAAAGTTGTAATGAATTGTGAATTAAATCATTGTGGTAGTTCCTGTCATGGGTCGCGACGCGGAAGAGGAAGAAGACTGGTAAGAAGGCATAAAATATGTGCTTTTAGGAAAGCTACACATGCGCAGTAGAGATCATGTCATATACATTTTTTTTAGTCAAACCTGAAATCTAAAGGCAGAACCATCCCATGCAACCTGCGTAAGTCATCCTTCTTTTTTTCTCGGAACAAAAAGAAAAGAAAAGCGTAAAAAGAACTTCGTGCTAAAGATTTATTTCTATTTCTATTTTCTACGAACCACAAAATTTACATAATATACATTTCAAGTAAATATGCAAATA